TCCTCCTCGCGTAGCGGTGGGCGCATCCCCGCCTCTGCGAGCAGCCCCGTGAACAACTCCGTGCACCGCAAGAGCTCGCAGGCGCCTGCCATCCGACGCAGCTTCTCTAGCGATCAGTACCACACGCTCGGACACGGCCCCGCGCCGCACGCCCCGTCGTCTGGCAGCGCACGCTCATGGTCGCACGGCGCGAGCAGCCTCACGGCAGGCCACCTCCCGCCGATCCCGGGCTCGCCGTATCTGAGTGAGGCATCAGCACCGTCCTCTCCTGCACAATCACGCAAGTCACTTTCCGCGGTCTCGCTAAACCGCTCAGGCTCGACACGTAGCCAGCGCCCGCCGACGCCCAAGGCCTCGGCCCCGTCGACTCCCATTGACGAGCGGCCTCGGGCCAAGACCGCGTCTTACCTCCCGCAGCGCTCTCCACCGCAGTCGCTTCATGCCGCTGTTGAGCTCCTCGCGCAGACGCCACCGTCGCCTAGGTCTATCGGGAAGATATCGGTAGAGAGCGGGTATGCGAGTGCAATGGAGAAGGATGGGGAGAAGGATAAGTTGGGTATCGTGCCGCCGTCGCCGAAGCGCCCGCTGCCGGGACCACCTTCAGCTGGACCTAAGATTGCGGGGAAGGAGATCAGTGGGCCTGTGTTTAATACTGGTGCGTGGTGCTTTGCGTATGTCTGAAGGTGGGCATTGAGAGTCGATCGCAGAGGCAACGATGAAGTTGAGCCCTGTCAAGACGAGAGCGGAGGGCAAGCCTATACCAGTTGAGGCTCCCCAGCGCCATATTATCTCTCATGGGAGTACCACTGCTACGCTGAGTACTGGGTGAGTGTCTTGTCGACCATAAGCAGACAACATACTAAATTGCGTCCAGATTATACCCTATCCTGCCCTCAGACCTTGCAGGAGACATCCAGCAGTTCGTCGAGTCCGAGTTTGCGAAGCAGTACTTCTCAACACATCGTACGGGCTTCATATTCAAGCGCAAGATTCCGATGGAGCAAATGATGACTTGGCAAAAGGTCCGCTTGCCCAGTTTGCAGTTGTGTGTACTCTCTGACGCTTGTATGGTGCTCAGGCGCCCCTTGCGTCGCCCCTTCTCAACCTCCCTCGGCCGTTGCACAAGGACGCTGTCAAGATCTTCAAGGTCATGCAGCGCCTCATGGGCGATCGGGAGCGGGAGACCAGGGGCGGACCACGTCATAACGACGGAACTTCAACCGTACCGTCGTTCAGTGCGTCCACGACCTCGCTTCCCTCGGGGATGTTTGGGCTCTTGGAGGAGGAACGGTGGCTTCTCGGCGAGGGCCTGACCCACGGAGAGCTGCGCGATGAAATTTACTGCCAACTTACCAAACAGCTTACGGGCAATGCGAATACGTATGTTCTACACCCTCTTTGATAGGCGGCCCAGCACTGATGCTGATTCCGGCGCAGCGAAAGCGTGTTCAAGGGCTGGCAGCTTCTCTGCGTGCTTCTCGTCACGTTTCCCCCTTCGAAGAACTTCGAGCCGTATCTCCAATCGTTCTTGCATCAGCGGACAGGGCAGACGGAGGGTCGCGTTGACATCATGGCCAAATACTGCCTTAAGCGATTGACGATCATCGCAAAGAAGGGTCCCCGAGGCAAGCCACCAACAGTATCAGAAATTGAGACCGCCTCGGTACGTTGTGTTGTTTCCGCCGCGTACGCCACCTAATCTCTCGGGGATATAGGACGCCGCGTTCAACCCGTCGACATTCGGCGAGTCGCTCGACGCCATCTACCGCCTGCAGGAGCGCAACTACCCGCACCAAAAGATCCCGATCATCCTGCCCTTCCTCTCAGACGGGATCCTCGCGCTCGGCGGGACGAAGTCCGAGGGGATCTTCCGCGTGCCGGGCGACGGCGACTCGGTATCTGAGCTGAAGCTGCGTATCGACAAGGGGTACTACAACCTCGAGGGCGTCGACGATCCGCATGTGCTCGCGTCGCTGCTGAAGCTGTGGCTGCGCGAGCTGTGCGACCCGCTCGTGCCGGAGGAGATGTACAACGACTGCATCACGTATGGAGGGGACCCCGATGCGTGTGTTGGTATCGTCGAGCGTTTGCCTACGATCAACCGCCGCGTCGTGTTGTTCGTTGTGAGCTTCTTGCAGCTGTTCCTTGACGAGAAGGTCCTGGTCGCGACGAAGATGACCAGTGCGAATCTCGCGCTCGTCATGGCTCCGAATCTGCTACGATGTAGTTCGGACTCAATGGCTATCGTGTTCACCAACGCTCAGTGAGTCCATTCACTCTATCCTGCTCTGGGTAAAATGGCTCATGTGCGTCGCCACAGATATGAGCAGACCTTCGTCCACAATCTCCTGCTTCATCTCAAATGTGACGAGATCGACCCGGACTACGTGCCCAAGCACGGTCTGGGCGCCGTATCCACGTCCCCAGCGCCGCGAACGTCGAAGCTCCGCCGGCGTCCGCACGCATAGCCCCAGCCTCTGCCCCCGTCCCCAGCCCGCCCCTTCCGCTCTCTGTACCTCTACCACTTCCTCTCCCCTCCCACTCTCCCTGCACCGAATGTCGCCCCTGACAGGGTCGACCTGTTGTTGTTCCCTCCTTTTTCATTTGTAGCATTTACGTATACCACCACCACCACCACCACCACCACCACCGGCTCTTCCAAGCTGATTCTCGATATATACCTGCATACAGATACAGATACAGATAGATACCTTAGTGGCACGATGCCGACCTACCCTCTCTTTTTGATAATTTGCGATTACAGTATGGTTATTTGCGGGCACGACGGGGGTGGTCCAGGACTCTGTGTATTTAGCTCCTTAATTTTCGGGATCCGGAGTGCCGATATGTGTATATATTGCATGAACTGCGCGTTGTTTTGAGAGCATGAGTAGAGAAAAGCCGTCGTCACACGGAGTATAGTAGGACGTCAGCAGTAGTATTCTGCGGCGAAAGATCTCGAGGCATTATAACGCCAACACATTAGAACGCTATACACGAAGCAGTTTTGTCAACCCCAGTCTCGCCACACCCTGCACCAGCGTCGTCCACCCAGATGCAGTTCCGCACCAGCACAACCAGCCCACTCACGCCTTCTTCGCCTCCCGCTCCTTCTTCCTGAGCGCGCGCTTGCGGATATCGCGGTGCAGCGCGTGCTCGTACGCGACGACGACGCACTCGGGGACGCTGTGCATGACGTAGTCGAGCAGCGCGTGCGTCCAGAACGGCACGGCGCTGCCCGCGCGGATGGACGCGAGCACGGCGCGCACGTAGGTGTGCGGGAGCGGGATGAGCGCGGTGGGGCGGCGGATCTTCGACATGGAGGAAACCTGTGCGCGTGGAGTGTGAGTGTGACGGTAGGTTGCGAATGCGGCCGTGGAGAGGGGCGGCGGCGGGGGAAGGAAGAAGGAAGACGTACGACGAAGTAGGTGTTGGCGTGCTCGACGGTGATGCCCTTTGGCCCGAGCTCGGCAGCAAGTGCGGCGGAGAAGGTTGCGAGGAAGGCCTTGGAGGCGGAGTAGGTCGCGAGCATGGGCGAGGGCGCGGAGCCGGCGAAGGAGCCAATGTTGAGGATCAGGCCGTGGTGGCTGCGAGGCGTGTCAGGGAACGGACGCGTCGAGCGCAGGGGAGCAGAGCGCACCGAGAGACCATGCCGGGCGTGACGAGCGCGGTGACGCGCAGGGTCGCGTTGACGTTGATCGCGACGATGTCGTGCAGCTCGTCGGCGGGCGTGTCGACGAAGTCGGTCGGCATCGCGTGCGACTTGCCAACGTTGTTTACTGACAGGCAGAGGCGACGAGATGAGTAGGGGTGTCAGGTGAGGAGGAATAGGCGACGCACCGAGGACGCCGATGTCGAGTCCTTGGAGGGCGTGGCCGAAGCGGGCGTAGGCAGCATCGTCAGCATGCGCGAAGTCAATTGCGTGGGTGTGTGTTCGGACGTCCTTGCCGACCTTGTCATCTGCAATTCCAGCGACACGCGTTGTGAGAGGGAGACGAGGGAAATGCGCGGAGCGACTCACGGATCTCCTGCGCGACGGCTGCCAGCTTGACGGGGTTGCGCGAGGCCAGGAGGATGTTGAAGCCGGCTTTGGCGAGCTGGAGGGCGAATTCACGGCCAATTCCATCAGATGCACCGGTTACGACTGCAATGCCAGGTAGTGACGGTTAGAGAACGAGTATAGAACGCGAGGACGTGAGCGCACCTGCCCATGCTCCTTTCTTGGCACCGAACTTCTTGAGCTGCACGATGTCGTCAGTACGCGATTTCGTGACAAGACCTCAGACTCACGTTAGTGCCTCGAGAAAGGAAGACACGGTATAACAGGGAGACAAGAGAAACCAGTATAGATGCCGCCGTGAATGTTCCGAGCCCCAAAAGCGCCAGCGAGAGCGGAGAGCGCGTGCTTACTGTCCACAATGAGTTATATTCGATGCCCAGAAGGCTTGCACTCACGTTCATTCCGGACACAACTCAGGAATGGAGCGAGCTTTTCGGTGAGTAGCTGTGTCGTGGCCATGGTCGCTGTGGTCGTCCGAACGAAGAAAGGCGTGAAGACGAACCCTGTCCAAGTACTCTATTCGCGGGCCACGCCGCGCGTGCTCTTGGCTGTGACAGGGTCCACGCAAGGACACGACTTGTATGTACGTCCAGGAAACCTTTTATTCTTTCAATCTAAACATGTCTAGCATACAGAGCTGGGGTTCAACGGCGCTGGGCACATCGCTATAGCGCATGATGGTGCGCAGTTTGTTTGTAGGTGCCGCCTTGACCGGTAGAAATCATAGAGCCTGCGGCCATGCCTGCCACCTGCTTGCCAACCGCGACAATCTGCATGTAACAGATCTAGATTGTCTTTATAAATCAATAGTCCATGAAACAAACTTCACATATGTACTCGAGTACAAGGTCCAGCAATAACTTCACACGGAGTAGGTTGTTCCAATTAATATTGTGGCCAATTAGCTAGAGATATTGCTTTAAAAGCTACTATTTGTCGATCGGATATGGTGTAATGGCTAACATTATCGCCTCTCATTCAGCGTGCGCGATAGCTCGGGGTTCGATTCCCCGTATCCGAAGTCTCTACTTGGAACGGAACAGAATATCTTTGAGTGTGCATATTCAAGTCCTGTAGTTTTGCAGCAAACAGCGTATCTAGTCTGGCATATATATCTAGCTTTGTTGCCGGCACTGGTGAAGTTGTGATATTCGTGATTACCTGATTTGCACCCCTTTTCGAGTGTGAACCCGAGGTAAATTCAAACTAGCAAGTGCTACAAGACCTTGCATCAGTAAAACAGTCGTGCTTGCGAAGCTTGTTAGAGCTCGAGCCGCTCAGAGCAGCTTGAAATAGCTTGAGCAGTCTTGTACAGCCTAGAGCTGAATGGTATCAGATGCCACTTTCGGTGTTGTTTTTCATGTCTTGCTAGTGCTTGCAAGAGCTTGAGAACGGCACAGCAATGACATGTGTTTGGGGATTTGATATTATCACATCAGATTGAGATAACCTCCGGGATATCTGCGCGGTTACAGACGATATGCCCCAATCTCAAGACCACGAAACGTGTCGTACTCTCGAGAAACATGCAGAACAACTTCATTCAGACAAAACTTGTAGAGGCACTAACAAACTCTCGAAGGAATAGAAATCTTAGGCAATCAAATACAGTTTGGACTACGGATCTAATCTCGCAGCTTTGAACGCGGACTGAAACCCAGCGCCTGCCACATGATCTCGGAGTCATCTGCCCTCAGACCACCGCGATGCGCGCCGTTGTACTGTTCATTGGTGGGATGAGCTTCGGTGGCCATTTCCTGGAGGTCCAATTCGGAAGACTGAGATTCGGTTGAGAATGCATCAACGGGGGGCTCGTGCGGAGGCGAGGACGAATGTGAACAGTCATGGGAGTCAACAGTGATGAAATCTTCGATATGGCGAAGAGGCTGCGGAGGCGTCATTGACTTTAGCGAGTAAGCACAACTGAGACAACGTACCGTGAGGGTGTCTGATGGTATCCCGACCGCTACCTTCAAGCCGCTCCGTCGCACTGCAGCCCGCACCTTGCCCACGTACATCTCAGCATCGAGAAGCTCAGCTCGTGCCGAAGAAAGTGCCTTCATATAGATCGACACGCTCAGCAGAGACTCCTTGAGCCTCATCTCTGCTAGAGTCTTCTCGACAAGCTGAGCGTCGCGCTTAGCACGAGCGAATCGAAGGTAGAGGTCCACATCCTCTTCTGTATCGATTGCACCAAGCTGTCTCATGTTAATGTCACGAAGGAAGGATGCATTAGAGAAAATGAAGACCAACATTTGGTACTTTGTTCAAGAAACTTCCATCACGGGAGCGACGACGTGCCTGTAGGTGGAATTGCGTGCCAAGTATAGACGCGCGGGGCGAGGGAGGCTGGCTTGAACGAGGACGGCGGCGGTCTTCTCCAGGAGATGATGAATGCTGTCGAGGGGAATGGGATGTGTGAGAGCTCATCGACATCGTTGGTGCTCTCGAGCTTGAAGCAGCTTGAACGTTGAACGCACGTTGGAGTTTGAACAAGACAGTCACTAGTCACGAGTCACGACGCGTCTGCTGAAGTTCGTTTTCCCACGTCTTGCGTTGACGACGTCCACCATGCACCGGCCTCGACAAAGGCATGGAATGCCTAGGACATCGAAGATACGCACTTATTTTTCTTGTCCCTGCTGTCACCGACCGTTTTCTAGCCAGAAGGCCGTGCATATCCACTTGAACATTCCACATTCCCGTTGTGCAGGCTGGACTTCGTCAGTTATCGCTCGCATGGCCGCTACGTCAAGTACCCGCTCTTCTCAGCAACAGACCCCCGAGGTGGGCTGCAGTACTCATCAGAGTGGCGACTTTGGCGTGGAGTCCACATCACAGCCTCACAACGTCCGCCTTCCAGTGGATCATGGTCAGCTTCAGGTCGTTTCCGATGACAACAACAAAGACAACAATGCATGGGTCGACGAGCAAGTCTGGAATCAATTTGAGCCATCGGACCTTGTCGGTTCCAACCATGTCCCTGTCTCCAGTGAAACAAATCCAGCTCCGTCCCTCGAGAGGAGCACAATTCATGAAGTCTTACATCCGCGGCCGTCTAAGACATTTGGGAAAGGCCAAACTTTCCTTGATACATTCCGTGCTGACAAATTCTCTTCAGAGCGTGATAGACTTCCCTACTACCCATTCCAGTCCCAGGCGGAGTGGGAATTTGCTGCATTTCTCGAGCGCTGCAACCTCTCGAACGCAGAGGTTGATGAACTTCTATCGCTTGACATGGTATGACCTACCATTCTACTTTTTCTGCCCGACTATGTCTGATATATGGTAGATCAAGCAGCTGCCGCTTTCCTTCCGGAGTTTTAGAGAACTGCGTGAGCAGGTCGAAATTCTCCCTGCGGGGCCGCAGTGGCACTTCTATACCCTCTCGGTGGACAGTTTCCCAACAAAAAAGCCTATACGACTATTCTATCGTGACACCCTCGAGTGTGTGGAGTTCTTGTTTGGAAATCCACTCTTTCACGATCACATGGACTTCGATGCACGCCGAGTGTTCACAGTCGCGGAGCGCGCTATCTGCCAATACAGTGAATGGATGACAGGTGATGCTGCTTGGGCTCAGCAGGTAAACTATGTTCTTGTCATGGAGTCTAGATTCCTGCTAATTCATATTTCAGAATGCGATCCCGGCAGGTGCAACTCTTGCCGGCGTGATCCTTTCTTCGGACAAGACAACACTGACGCATCTGAAAAAATTCCCATAGCTTTATAGACATATATACCTTTTATAGCTTATATAGGGCCATAGCAATGTAGAATTGTTGATACACTATAGAACTACCACACACAGCTATGATAGTGCTATGAAGTGCTATGGGATAAGGTACATTGCTATGGCTGCTATGGAATAAGGTACATTGCTATGGCAGCTATAGAACAATGTACTATACTATGATTGCTCTAGGTGCTCAACAAGCTATACAGACTATATGTTCTATGCAAACAATATAACAACCCCAATAACTATACATGCAATGCAACCACCCCTGCAGCTATACAGTATATCCAACTGGGATATTTCAGATGCTTCTTTGAGCTTAATTTCAAACAGTGAAAATATTGAAATGCATTATATTAACTCCTATACTACAATACAAAACAGCTAATCTACCACAACTACCTAAATCTCAAGCATAACAGAACAAATAGTGAAGAGTGTCTGGGATATTCAAGGTGAGTATGAAGTAGGACCTTATAGATTAGGAGAACAACATGCCATTGTGATAGACACACTGAAAGACCTACAGGACAGTTCAGTTGAAGAAAGAAGTAGGGAAGGAAGAAAGAAACTCACCAAGATGCAAGGGACAAACAGAACAGGGTCATAGTACATACCTAAGGCAAGAACATGATGGCACAGGCTTGTCACTGACACGAAGACGCAGGCACTGATGAGCGGGAGGGTGCGACAAGGGCAACCGAGTGCGGCCAGCGCGAAAGTGCGACACGAGCGCGACGGCGGGGGAATGGCATGATGAAGGCGAGTGAGCATGAGCACAGTGTGACAAGGACACGCGAACGTGTCGAGAGCGCGACGGCACGAGATAGGCGCAACGGCACGAGATGGGCGTGACGGCGTGGGGATGATGAGAGTGCGCAGACGCAGGTGCGCGAGGGCGTCTAGAGCGCCACGTAGCACTCGCTGCTGAAAGGCTCATCATCAGTCGTAATGGACATACGAGGAAGAACGACTTACAGAAGTGCGGGCACGGCGCAGCTAGAGAAGAAGAGAGGAGAGGAGAGGAAAAAGAGGGGGAAGTGGGCGGAAGGGTGTGGGATGGGGGAAAGAAGAAGGACGACGCGCGTTCGGTGTTAGCGTGCCAGCATTCGAGGTTCCCACGCACAGACCAAAGCGCGCGTCAGCGATTACTCAAGGGCGTATACATCTGAATATACAGGCCGCAATATTAATTCATAAAATTCAGAATTATTACACGATGTAGGAGGGCTCTAATCATATGTAGTGACGAAATTTCATGTAAGCAGGTGGAGTAGCCAGGCCGTTGTGTATAGAAAACGTGCAGGCACCGGACTCACAGTGCAAGTCGCGCCGTCCAAACGCGGCGGACCGAAAACTTGACAGGAATCGAGGCTCAGAGCGAGGCATTCTGAGCTATGCTTGAGTCTGAACGCCTCCACATCTCGTCAATGGCTTTTTTGTATCTTTTATACGACATACAATTTATTTTCTATTTTACCGTATTTTACAGCGCTCACAATCACCAACTTTCGAACGGCAGGTATCAGCAGCCGGCAATTCCCGACGCCCGTTGCAGACGCGGCTTCGACTTGTACATCTCTCTCGCTCTCTCGCTCTCTCATCCCCTCCCTCCTCCTTCCCTTCCCTCTCTCCCGTCATCCAGCTCGCTCGGCGAGCACGAACATAGGCACCCTCTTCTCCGCACATACGCCCGCCCGCCTGCCCGCAGGCTTGCGCGACGACATCGCCATGGAGACGACGAGGGAGTAGGCAGAAGGACATCAGGTACGTAGCACCTGCTGCACGCTCGAC